CGCGTTTACATGGAAGATAATTTAGCTTGTAAAAACAAGTATTTATGTCCTTTTTCTATGCTGCCCTCGCTCCTAAAGAGGATTCATACAGATATAATTGTCGTCGTCCAGAATAAGTGTTTCGTTCTAAAAGGAAAACCCAATAAACTCATTCAGAAATGACTCGTTTCGAATAATTTAGCTCTGGTATCATGTGGCGACCGGGATGAACTCATTCCAATATCATGTAAAAGGCCCCTCAGAGTTTTTATTCCCAGAGCGTCACGCTTTGCTCTCCTGCCAGAACAATATAGATTTCAATAGCGTTGAAGCAAAAACCAGCTTTGAACTGCTACGCTGCTACTGAAACAGACCACTGTAGAGCATACACATTAAGTCACCCAGGTGACCAAGATTACCCGATACACTGTGACCATAACCCCGATGACAGGTGTGATAGATGCTCTCAGCTTGCTTCCGTTGGTGGTGACATCGAAGAAGTTCTAGAAACAGCCCAGTGTTCAGCTGAAACCAAAGACGAATTGGTCTTTTTGAAATTTAGAAAAAGTCAGACTGATTGGTTTGGCAAGCGAGGAATCCCGTGGCATATTGCAGTCACGATCAGAAGAGGAGTTGAGGGACAAATGGAGATAATGACGTTTGTCCACCTATTTGATAGCTGCAACCAAGACAGCAGTAGCGTTCTTGTCATACTATCGATGTTTTCCGTCAATTGAAAGGTGTCATGCCAGAGTTAAAGTCCATTTATCTCAGACAAGACAACACTGGCTGTTATCACTGTGCGTTAACCATCGTTACAGCCAGGCAAGAAGCCGAGGTAAATCGTCTATGTCCTGCCAAGATGGATTTCTCTAATTCAAGGGGGAAAGGGCTCGTGTAATCGGAAAGCGGCGACCACACGATAGTCCATCTGAATTCAGGGCGTAATATTGAAACGGCTTCTCAGATGTTTGAAGCGATTAACTCATTTGGTGGCGTCTTTGGAGTGAAGGCCATGCTCTGCAGTCCTCCATCGTCCACAGTCAGAACGTCAGTAAAATGGGAAGGTGTCAGCTTTGTCAACAACGTCCAGTACAGCGGGGACTGTCTGAAAATCTGG